GCCAATACATATAATTATGAAAAATGCCCTTCTCTTAAATGGTGGGGATATCTATAAGCCTGTTAGAGGTTCAGGAAGGAGTTTTGGGGAGCATAACCTCACCGAAGCAGTTTGTGCTTGCCCTTATAGCTTAGCTATCCGCATATGTTTAGAGTTCTCCTGTTAGACCAACATCAGACTCTAATTATCAGTGAAATTTATTGTTTGCTGTTATAATTCTAAAATACATATATGTAAAATATGTAAAATATACATATTTATATTTAGTTATACTTATATATAATACATATACAATGTATATAATATATATCTATATATAATTTGTCCAGGTGTAGCCTGTATAGAAAGGATGTAAGAAGTCTTGAAATGGCAGTACAGGAAGTAGGTTTTCCTAACTGAAAGGACTATGCCCCCTACGAATTTGGATTCCCTTCTGACCCTTGAACCTGGAATATCTTATGCAGAGATCAGATTACAAGAAAAAGATTATCAGTGCTACTGCTTGGAGATAGCTGTCATGTCTCAATGGATCTTCATTTCCCATGTAAGCTGGTAATTTATGGTATTTGAGTGTTGAGCAACATAGGTCTTTTCCTTAGCCATGTGATGGGAAGAGATAGGGAATTAAGTTAAAAACAAAACTGTACAATGTATTTTAAAAATTCCAGTATTTTGAAAGTTAGATTGTTACAAGTTCTGGAAATATGACTTCTTCTGGAGCAGCATAGTGTAGCTTATCCAGGTAATTGTGATTATTTTAGTCAATTTCAGTTTTTTTTTTTTTCCCCCCCAGAAATCTACTACTAAATCTTTCTTAGAGGCACCAAGATTTACCTGTAAGAAACAGACTCTAAATCTCCAAATTAAGTAACTGAGTAGTATACAATTTATAAAAAGTACTTTAGAATCTTCTAAGAATTTAGCTGTGCTTGCTTGTAGTTGTACCAAAGTAAATTTCACCATTCTGTAAAAATACAAACTTTAAGAAGTGTCCTTATTCTTCATCTGACATAGATCAAGAGTTTGGCTTGGAGTACTACAAGCTGCAGCCATAATTAGAAAGTAGGTCATTCTGGTTTGTCGCTGACTTCAATTGTAAGAATTCCTCTTTTTTCCTAAAGGAATACAATAAATATATATTTATTATATGTAGAATTTATCTCCAACTCTTTTTTTTCCTTATTTGGTAAAAAAAACAAAAGATGAAAACTGTTTGGTCACTCATGCTGAGAGAAGTAATTAGTTTTTACTTGTGTACTTGCTTTACTAGATTAAATCTGCTGAAGGCTTTCAATGACATGCACTTCTCAAGTTAGTTTTACAAAGTAGTGAAACAATACAGCTTAAGTAAGTGAGAATAAAAGCAGTTTTAAACATCTGAATTTTATTTCAGCTGAAGGCAGTACATGTGACAAGATGGGGATGGAGTTCCATTTTTGTCCTTTGCGACCTCAATCTTCCATAGCTGCTGTGAGATTGAGCTGCACCTATTGCACAGAATTGGGTCGTCTCGTATTATCAAGAAGAAACAGAAAGTGTCAGAGGTCTTCTTTAAAGTGTCATCACTTAAATGATATTTGTGATTACGTTTAGTGAGCTTACGTTTAGTGAGCTTACACTGAACTGTCTAGTTTTTCCCTAGGTTTACTGTTTAGTTCTTGTAAGTCCTCTACCTGTAACTTATCTAGCCATTGATGGCCACGCAGGTGAAGAGTCCAGAACTGTACTTTTGGTGAAAGAATGCCTAAAGTTACTTTCCTTCTTTGAAACAAAATTATTCGAGGAGTAATAAGCTAGATTCTCGGTGGTCTTGGCTCCTGCACACGGAAATGTTACCCAGGAGTGGAGCGAGTGTGTGTTAAGGTGCTGTGCCACGTGTCTCAGTTATACATGACATGTAGCACACAAGCTGAACCGGCCTTTCTGCTTTAGTAGTGAGGATACCTTGGAAGCAGCTCTCAGCCACCAGCTCTGCATTGCAGCCTGTCGTGAACAGCAGGTTGCCAGGGGAAACCTGCCCCAACTGACTTCCAGGGAACAATATGGAGATGAAATATGATACGATTAAAATGATTCAGGCTTGAGCTGGCATGTTGTTTTTAGTACAGTAGAAGTAGGCGCTGATAGCGCTATGGAACATGCATAGAAATGCTTGAGGCCCTGGATTTCTTCCTGGTGTAAGTGAGTACCTGCACCTGGAAACTCTCTGATTTTAACAAGCTGTTTGAAACAGGCATTTTTCTGAATCACCAATATACATTTGATTGCACTTTAGGATGATAGCCTGACTGCTTTTGCAAGGTTAAATACTTTCAGGTAACTTAATACTGTACTGGCATTGATTTTTATAGAGAACTACTTTAAAATAATTACAGAATCAAGGAGAAGACTGATTTATGATGTAAAATTGCAGTCTATGAATAACTGGTCAGAAAATGTTGTCTTTTTCCTCTGAGATGCTTAGTTGTTTGTTTGTTTGTTTTTAGTAATCCATGATGTTTTTAGGCATACTGGGTAAAGTCAACCTTCTAGCTATGTCAAGCTGTCAAAATAGACTGTGTTGTAAATTGATGTTGATGTTGTATGATGTTGTACAAGAAGCCATGCTAATAAAGAGCTGAATGTTATGATGATGAGCAATAGGATTTTCAGAAGTTGTCTGGAATAATCTCTTTTGAGAAGGTCATGTTGAAGGTGCCACAGAACTGATTCCAAATGCCAGGTGGCTGCAGAGAAGGGGCGTCCCACATTCCAATAAGTGACCTCCCTTATCTGAAGTGCTTGTCTTTCCTCCTGCTCTGTAGAATGGGTTTATAAGCTATTGCCTGTTAGTGCTGTGGCAGCCATAAAGGGCACACGTTAACAAGTATGGTGTTTCTTTCACCATTAATTTTAAATAGTTTGTGAAATATGTAAAGTATTGGGCTTATCTTCCTTCTGCTGTGAATTTAAAATGAAGAATGTCATTCTGTATTGTAACCATATTTTTTATTTATGGACTTATTTTTCCAGATCAAAGTATTTTAGAACGTGTTCAACAGGAGAACACTTTACTATAGAGGTGAGTGCTCACATTTAGAGCAGTTCTAAAAAGGTGGGTTTTTTTTGTCTTATTTTCTAGCAGTAGCCCCTTAATGGTTTTTACAGTTCATGTATAATGAAATATTCCAAGATATTCCAGACTGAATTGATCCTTCACTGAATGCCAAGATACTGGTTCCCAGGCTATCTTTAGACTTTTAATGCATCATCTTCCTTTACTCTGTGATTTACAGAGACGTAGAATATCCATTGTTACCTGATCATCAGCACCAAAGCATTCAAACATCTGTGTATTGCCTTTTTCGTTGCCACTGAGCTCGAGAGGGTGTGTGTGTGGTGTGTAGTTGGTATGGAGGTCAGTAAGGAGTCCTGCAATAGATGGTGCCCTCCATGCCTATTATATTTACCCCATGTGCGCTGGGAAATAGTGTGGAGCAGTTTCATTTGCTTACCTTCATTTTTATATGGTATTTCAAAATCTGCTGTAAGAGTTTGTGCAGTTTAGAATGCTTTTCAAGTATTTTTGACCAGTTTGGGCTCTTCATACTTGACTTTCATTAAAAAAAAAAAAGAATTCTGGTTAGAGGGTAACACTATGTTTTCTGTAAATTAATAATATATCTTCAAGTACTTTTTGATAAGCATCACAGTTGCCATGTGAGGTAAAGGTTATTTGCCTTGTGCCTTTCAAGTGTTGTATGCTTTTAAGTTAAAATGGTGCTTTGAATTTTGCAAGAGACGCAGTCCTCCTGCCACTACTTGAATTAGAATACGTCAGATAAGGGCCTATAAGCTAATGAGACTTCACTGCTTGTCAGGGCCCTCACATGAGTTGTAGTGAAATATGTGAAGATTTTCAATTTTGACTCTTGCCCTTTCAGAGAATGTAATGTTTTAAGACAAATCCTGGTGAGAGTAGGTCCTATTCTAAGGGTAATTCCTGCTTAGAAAGTAGAGGCTTTCATAAATAGTTTTGTAGTCCATATATTATCATTGGAGTAGTGATTTTACGGAGTATATTAAACATGTAATCATAATAGGTGTTTCGTGATGTGCTATGCTGGTTTGTAAAGACTGTTTACTTCTTTTTCTCTGCAGTTTGAGAACCTAGTGGAAAGTGATGAGGTAAGTACTAGAATCATAAAGTGAAACCTGCTAGTGCAATACATGAAAAATATTATAAATCTAAAACTTCACTTAAAATTTCTCTCTCATATAACTCTTGAACAAGATGCATCAAATGCTCTGAATCTGACCCAACAGGACCATGGGTCCCCCCTAGCAGGGTCTTGCTAAGTAAAGCGTTGGGAGCACTCTGTCCTGAAGATAAGTTCTGGTTCAACTGTCCGAAGCAGCTTTTCAGGAAAAAAACGTAGACCTTCACTGTTAATTTAATACACAGTTCTTTCTTTCCCATAAGTTTGATAACAGGAAAAAAGTGTTTTCAGTATCATGTCCTGTATTTAAAACATGAAGACTAATAGCTCCTCATGGAGCTATTGGCTCCTCATGTACAGCAAAAGAATGCGCTTTTTCATTTGGAAGCTTTTTTAATTTGTTTTTAGTCAGCCAATTCAGTTAGTTACGTGACAAGATCCTTTGAAATTTGAAACAAAAACAATATAAGGGAAGATTTTTTTCTTCCAATTATAAAACTAGGATATGGGGGATACATTTTTTGTTTTCCCTATGACTCTAAATTAATGGGTTTCTTAGAAACTTAGAGTTTTCTTGGTTTTGTTTTTTTAAACAGGGGGAAAGCCCAGGAAGCAGTCACAGGTAAGATTGGGAGATTCAGGACCTCTCCTTCTTTCTACTTTCCTGTTGTGATTGTTCAGTTCCTGATATTTCTAATCAAAACTGTCTTTTTAGTTATCAGATAAATGAAAAGAATGTATGTCATACTAACCTTAATGTTTAACTTTGTCTAAACATTTTAAAAGTTAATGCATCTTGCAAAAACTCTACCTAACACTCAGAATAGAATGTTGTCAAGAGAATCTTTATTCTTGTTCCCATGGCCAGCATATAAGGTTACAGAGGTTTTAGGACTTGCAGGTTCAGTGGATCTTTTCATAAGCGTATTAATATTTATGTAAATAGCAGTTACTTAGAGGTCTGCTTGATAGGTAGTGTGTTTTAGCACAGAACGCTACGCTTTGGTTGCCTAATTCTAGATATCTTGTATTACTTCATCTTGATAGTTTGCAAAATGTTGTTCTCCAGCCAACGCTCCAGGAAAAGCTGTTGGATATGGCAGACTTGATAGTTATTATAACGCTTTTGGAATCTTACAGAGAAGACATGCAAGAGCAACAAATGCTCTTGCATGACCAGAACAACTAAGAAAATAGTGAGGCTTCCATGATGACAATTCAATTATTCTGCTCCTTTTAAGAAAAGATGTTGTGGGAAGATGCTTTCTTTACAGATACAGAGAATGCTCTACAGAGACAAGAAGAGATAAGTAATAGTCTTAAGTAAACCAAAACTTTGGTCTTAGGAGAAGTAAAACAAAAGCACAACTTGTTGATTTTTACATTAAAGGACCAGTCAAGAAAGACTATATGAATCTACTTAAGTTAGAGTTGTCAGGAATAAATAATAGTTGCAGTCTTTTTTGTGTCCCTCCCACGCTTTTAGGCCTCTGACTGAGGAAGAAATTGCTGACTTGAAAGACAGACATTATGACTCCATTGCTGAAAAGCAGAGAGCTGTTGATATGAAACTTCAGTCAGAGGTAAACAATTACAATGAATGGTGTGGTGTGGGCAGCTTTTTTCTTTTAAAGTATTCAATCTTAACCATAAGTGCAGTGAGTTTTTATTCACATGAACAAAATGATTTGTGTTCATCTCTTGGGTTTTTATTAGACTATTAGATAACCCATGGAGATTGACTGTTGTGAAATTAAGTTTGCATCAGAGATTGTCTTGTCATCAATCTCTCAGATGACAGTTTGAATAAATAGGCTAGTTATTTGTGCATAATGATTAAGCCATAATTCTTTTCATGTAAAAGACAAAACACGTAGGATACTTGATTTGGCTTTTCTTATGCTGAGTTTGTTCAGAGTTTTTTTTCTTAAGCAAAGAACCTAATTTGTCATTTTGAGTGTTGCAGCAGTTAGTGGAATATGATATGGAATACAATATAGAAATTAAGAATGATTTCGAATGAATACATGTTTGAAAAGTTTTAAGCCTTTCGCTGTGCAGTTCATAATGTGATACAACCATGCATTACATCCATGCTGTAAATTCACTACAGCAATTCACTGTTTTCCTACTGAAATTATGTTTGTTTCATAGAGTAATGTTTAGCTGTCTACATTTCATGGGATTATTGTTGTGGGGGGAGCTATCACATTCTCTTAATGAAGAAAAAATGTTTTAAATATAGTTGATTTTACTTTATTTTTATTTTCTAGTAGCTCTTCTTTTAATTTATTGGAGTTACAGTTTTGTTCATAGGAAGATTAGATAGGTTCTGCTTTTGTTAACCCTTACTGTTTTGTTCATATACAGTTAGCCTTACAAGAGGAGAAGTTAAGAATAGAAGAAGAGGCTTTATATGCTGCACAACGTGAAGCAGCCAGGGCAGCAAAGCAGAAAAAGCTCTTGGAGGTGAGGGGGAAAAAAGACCCCAGTATATATCAGAGCTTCTGTTCTATTCTTGTGTTCCGGACTTTCCTAATGTCCTTTACATATGAGGAAACATAATGAGGAACTTGCTTTGCTTGGGCTTGTAAATTCCAGTGGAGAAAGAAATAGAAAGAAATGCCTGATTTGAAAGTACAACTTACTGGGACAACTGAAAATGAATGAAATGGTTTGAAACAAATTCAGACACTGAGTACAGATCTTGAATGAGAGTTTGTTTTTTTTTAACATAGAATTAGCTTAACAGACTTATGCTATATAGAAGTTAACTGCTGTTCATATAAAGTGATCTGTGATTGTCTTCTAATGAAAAAAATAGAAATTAAGTACACATTATGATGTCCTTACATTTATAAAATACAACTTGATATGTTTATATGCACTTATTTTTTTCCATTCTGTATGACTTGTTTTAACATGAAGAGAAAGTGTTTCTGAATCATCTGTATTCATTGTTTTGAGCCAGAAGTTGGACTAGATGACCTACTAAGGTCCCTTCCAATCTAAATTGTTCTATGATTTTGTGATTTTATTTGTAGCAGCCCAAGTCCAGTAATAAGCAGCTGTGTGTTTTTTGTTTTGTTTGGTTGAATACCTCTGTGCCTACCTGTACATGTCTTGTGTGGAACTTGTGTGGAACCTGTGGAACTTGGTCAAGCAAAACAAAAGCCAAGTTATGTTTTCTTGCTTATTCAAAACATTTGCCATTCTGTTTCCTGGGAGCATTTATGACTTTTTTTTTTTCTGTGTTGACTCTTAAAGAATTACCTATTTTAATCCCTGTCTATCAGTTCATTTAGTATATTCACTATACTAATCAGACAGAAAAATAGGTGGTCTTCTGCCTGAATTTGAAGGAAAACCTTCTTGACTGTGAGGGTGTCAAGAGCACGGGAATAAGTTGTCCAGAGAGGTTGCAGAGTCTTCTTCTCCCTCCTGAATGTGATCCTGTGCAGTATCTTCCAGGTGACCCTGCTTGTGCAGGGCGAGTTGGACTGGATGATCTGCAAAGGTCCCTTCCATCCTTAATCATTCTGAGTCTTGCACAGGTTTCAGATTGCAGGAAACATGCAATTTGTCAAAAAATAATCAGAATTATCCCTGTCTGTTCATATGTAACGTGTATGCCTCATTTGTAGCATGTTCAAGGAAACAGTCGACAGGACATGTGGTTTTCTGGGGGTGTGGGGGGGGGTGTTTGTTTTCTGTTTTGTTTTTCTTTCATTTGTTTGTTTGTTTTTCTGGGTTTTCTGTTTCTTTTCCACTGGAGAGATGACATCTTCTTAAAACAAGATTGGCTTGCTTACATTGCCCAGATAATTGTCAGGGTTTATAGCAGCAGAGAGTACTAATACATAGTATGCAATATAGTATATTGGAACAACAGGGCTGGATATGCGTATGTGACCTAAAAAAATGAGTAGATAAATCTGGTGCTGTGTAGGTATGTGAATTTTAAAAACAAAATTACTGCACACATCAGAAACTTACTTTCCTGGCTTGCTTAACTGTATGTTAGTGTCAAATTCCTGGCTCTTCCTCCTTACTTACTTAACACATCTCATTTAAATAACTACTGTTGGGTGCTATTTCTCTTTTTTTTTTTTTTTTAAACAACTTCTTGTCTCCTTACCAGTCTGCTTATTCTGATGCTTGTTTAAATGTTTAAGATTAAAATTGTACCAAGAAATTAAAACATCATCATCTTGGGATTGAAAATAGTAGTCGATCAAATGTATTTTTTTTCACATGACTATTTACCCAACTAAGAGCAGTTTTAGATAAGGTTTTGAAATTTATAATTCTGGTTTGTTTACCTCCTTTTTTTTCTTTTGGAGATGGAGACCGATCCATTAATGCTGAGAGTGTATTTTGAGAAAACATGGTAGATCATTGTGTCCAATTTGCCTAAAAATTTAGCTCATTCATTTTTATGTTAAGATTTGCCATAATCAGAGTGAAAAAATACTGCATCGTAACAAATTTACTTTTCATCATATGGCAAATATGCACAATTTTTATATTCTTAATTTTTTTCAAGGCAAGGAAAAGAAACTTGAGCTAACTTCAAACCCCAAAACCTTAAATAGAACCACCCTGCTTCAGTGACATTTGTTGTTCCTCTTATAACTGCAAAACAAGTGCTTATATTGGCTTGTTTTGCATTTTTCATTCTGTTTCTGCTTAGTTTTGTCCCAGCAAGGCCCTATTTTACTACTATAAATGAAGGACTTTGCTGATGCAGGCAAGCAGAAGGGATGGCAGTACTCCTCTGGCCGGTAGTAGAGGGCACCTGTGAGAAAAAAATCTGTTTAAATGGTAGACTTGGTAACTGACTTGTTTGTGCATAGACAGAACAATTTCAACAAAACCCAAGAATTAACTGTCAAAATATTTGCAAGTTAAGAGAATATAGTGCAGCAGAGGACAGGTGCTGTCATCAGTCAAGTGGTGTTCACATGTTTCTAGTCAAAATACTGATTCTTGATTATTGTGCACAACATAGGCTAAAATATTGCACAGAATTCATAATAGCTTCTTTTAAATGAAGATTATGATGCAGTTTCTAAGATGGAGAGCAATGCTACTTGAATATGGTGATCACTTCAGTCTCATTAAATTTGATGTTACTTGAGTGAAAGTCAGTCTTCTTATAAGCTGTACTTAGACTGCTCCGAGTTGAGAAAGACAAGTGCTGCTTCTGAAACCCCAGTTAAGAGAATGCCCGGGGCACTGAGTACATGTCTGAGTGATTGTCTTCTGCAGCCTCAACAGCTTCTTTCTTTTGGTAGCAACACAGACTGCAAAGGATAACGCAGAGAGCGCATGCTGTTAATAATGGAGACTATCAAAGGTAAGATGCAAAATGTAATAACGATACGTGAGAACCAAACTGTCTTTACTTTTGTGTGTTTTTCTTTTTGCACTTACAAGTGCAGCATTCCTAGGTCAAATTTGTTTTTATTTACTTTACAATTTTCTCACCATGTAGTTACTTATGCATGCTAGTTGCTACCAATATTGAGGCTAGATTGTATTCATTCTGGAGTTACTGGAGTGATGCATGAAAAATCAATGCTATAGTCTACTACTCAATATATAAAATCTTCTTTTTTAATAGAAATATATATATGTATATGTATTTTTGTGTGTGTACACACATAGACTTAGGTATAAACATTACTATTATTTCTTTAAAAGTGTGCGAACAGTATTACGCTTGCATACGCTTTTATTAGTGTCTTTGGAGATTTATAAAGTTGAAAGCAATAAATTCAAGTGCATTACTTTTACAGCTCTGTCACAGAAGAAGATATTGATTCCTTCTTGAGAAATACAAAAATCCAGTATGAAGCTTTTCGAAGTAGTAGTAAGTCTTTCTTCTTTATGTATATTTTAAATGTGAAGTGATTCTGAGGAGCACAATGTGGTTTTTTATATATATATATATATATATATATATATATAAAAGATGTGTATATATATTTAAGATGTGTATATATATAATCATTATTATGTTTCTAAACACTAGAAGAAAAATCAGGAACTCATTTTTCTCTTGAATCCCTAAGACCTCATGGACTCAAACACAGCATATATAACTTGTCACCACCATTCCAATTCTGAAAGGCAAATTCTCTAAGCAAACAGGTCTTTTGTTAAAAATTCCCAGCCATCTGAGTAGAGACAATAACCTGCAGTGAATTCTTGTAAGACTTAGGTGTTTTCAAAGAGGCAAATGTGTATGTATATAATATTTTTCAACAGTTTCTTAATAAAATACACCAATGTTTAATGTTTATAGGACTTTCATCTGATGCTACAGTGCTGACACCAAACACAGAGAGCAGTTGTGACTTAATGACCAAAACAAAATCAACAAGTGGCAATGATGACAGCACTTCATTAGACTTAGAATGGGAAGATGAGGAAGGTATTTATCCTCTCATTCGATTTCCTTCTGAATTTACAGATTAAAAGTACTGGCAATTTTAACTGTGATGGTTGTAAACTTGTCCTTCCTATAAGGAAAGGTGGCTTTTCTTTCTGATGGCATTTCTTTCAAGTGCATACTGATTAAATAGCTGTAATTGACCTTTAGTTAGAAAATTGTTTACTTGGGTAGATGTGGTCATCTGTCTAATAAATCAATTCATTTATTTGGATCCTCTGTAAATCTGTTTTCCTGCACATTGTGGCACCATAACTTCTAGAAAAGCCCCAAAAAGCTATTTGTGAAGAAATGCTGCCCTCTTATGAGTCAGTAGCAACAGGAACAGCTTCATTTTTTAGGTTGTGTATGCAAAACTACTAGCATTCTAGAGGAATTGAAGCTTGAGCAGTATGATATATTTTGAAGTATACTGGATTTTACTTTGGAAGGCATTAGGACCAGACCAGAAACAGTATTCTGGGAGCTCTCTATCTCCCAGAAATGGGCAATTTGCATTCTTTGCTTTTTACGGATTGAGTTGTCCTCCCACTCTTAAATGTTAGCTTATTGCAGTATCTTTCTGTGTAACTACACAAAAGTAGATGAGAATGAGATTCAGTCTTGACCAGCCATATCTGTATGCACTGATATTTGCAATCGTCATGTTTGATGGTATGGTAGTTTGAAGAACTACTCATCCTAATTTTAGCACATCTTTGGTGTATCCAGCTCCAGCATCTTCTGAAAGGGTTGACTACTTCTTAGGGTTTGGAGATTTAGTTACTGCACTGTTTGCTTTCAAACAGCTACTGTAGAGACTGGACAACTGTGTGTATAGTTTGGCTTAGTGATCTGGGTTATTGATTATGGTCTAGTTTTACATTTTTCTGTTAGTAAACTGTCTGGGGATTGAACACAAAGTAGAGGGAAACCCAAGTGTGCGTGTGTGTGTGTGTGTTTGCTTTTTTTAATAGTCAAAAGGCTAATACTCTAAACCTAGGATAAGGATAGCTACAGAATATAATATTGCTTCAACAGAAAGGTTGTCAAATTATGAGATTATTAACGAGAAGTGCCTAGATCTGAACTTGGCATGATTGTGTATTATTGATTGTACTGCATAGTTATGATATATAACTAATGATAGTACTGAAAGGGTCCTGTGGATCGGAGCTGCTTGAGTGCAGCAGAAGCATAGTTAACAACTGCAGTGTTATAATTCATAGAGCATGTTTTATAGAGAGATAAAAGAAGTGTGGTTGAAATGTAAATGCTAAATGTTCTGACTTAAATACAAAGGTTTTGGTATGGTAATTTTATTTTCAATTTTTGTTGTCACATAGAGATAGCGTATACAAGGAATTTGTAGTACTAATACTATTAATGACATTTGGCAGCATAGCTCATATGTTGTCCATCTCTCTTGCTGACACCAGATCCTAGGAGCTATCAGTACCAAAGGAATAATCGAGCTGAAAAGTAGCTCTGTTTTAAAAGATTCAAGAAATATTAACATAAAATCCATCACTTCAGGGTCTGGGAATGGTAAAACTTACTTCTTGCATGTTTTTTTTTCCCAAATGTTCACACCAAAAGATAATTATGTGTTTCACTTGCAACATGTAAGTTCGATTATAAATTAGTTAATTCACTAGTCGGTCCATACTTCAAAGGGGAATTTCCTAAGAAGGCATGAGGAGAATTAAGAAAAATAATTCAAGAAAATGGTATGCTCAGTCCTTCCCTTTACCTGTTGCAGCAGTTGAAATGGTGTCCGATGCATCATAAGAAAGTCTAACAATCTATGTAATATCTTGTATCTCTAAAGAGTTTTCTGATCAGTGTTTTGCATGAATTTAAACCTATCTTTTCATAGAAATAGAAGAGCTTTCCTATACAAATGCACCCAGTATCTAAATTTTAGCTGTTTAAATTTTTTCAGTTGATGTTTAAGTGACTTATCAGTAGGTTTGAGGTGTATTAGAGGATTCTCCAGATAGTAGCTTTTCTAGAAATGGCACAACACTTGCCCTTAATGGAGACCAGCAAGTTAAATACATAGGAGAAATAAATACTGAAACTGAATTGTCCCACAGTGTTCTGGGTCTTCCACAGAGATTTATAAAATAACAGGAATGGCTATTAGATGTACTTGAGGCAAATATGACTGCAAACTACTGTCTTAATTTGAATAATGCAAGAAAAGGAAAGGTGATACGATACTAAAGAGTGAAATTTCCAGAATCTGGACCTCTAACAGATTGTTGTTGTTTCTTCTAAGGTTCTAATTCCCTCAAAATGTTTTATCTCACAAGCATGTCTTAAATTGTAGGTATGAACAGAATGATTCCAATGAGAGAACGCTCTAAAACAGAAGAGGATATACTCCGAGCAGCCCTAAAATTTAGCAGCAAGAAGACTGGAAGTCATCCAGCTTCAGCCTCTGACGATTCTAATGGTTTGGAGTGGGAGAATGACTTTGTTAGTGCTGAAATGGATGATAATGGCAATTCAGAGTATGCTGGATTTGTAAATCCTGTCTTAGAGTTGTCTACATCAGATGTAAGGATATCTGACTCTGATCAACAAGACAGGTAGTGAAACTTGCTTATGACCAAATGCTTAAAAGAGGATACAAAAATTGACCGCTCTTTTATAAGAAAAAGAAGGGAACAATATTATAAATTATTTGGCAAGGAATGCAAGTGACTTGCTAATTGAATTAATTCAGAATTAAGTGCAATTTTATCATCTACCTTATAAATCTTTGTGAAAAGTAGGATGAATCTATTGTGTATATTTCTGGCTATCTGGTTTAATATTATCTGCACTAATTTAAGCTTTGCAGCTTGTCATGTCTATATTTTAACTATATTTTCTTGAATTGTATTTCTACTGATTGATTTTTAAAATTAATCATTGGTCTAACGTTTATCCAGAAATAGTCTGATATAATTTATCTAATAATTGGACAGGGAAATCTGTTTTAATTGTCTTTTTTCAGCAATACTTGCTATATGTTTTGGTTTTTAGCTATTTAGGTGCAAAACTGGCAATTTACTATTTGTGAAAGCTGTTTTTCAATTGGCTGTTTTCCCTCCTAATTTATTTTCTCCCTAACCTTGTGTTTTTCTCCTTACATTTTTGTTATACAAAGCACAATTGACCTGTATAAACATGGTATAAATCATCGGGTTAGGTAAGATGCCATCTTTCTTGTGTAATATGCCAGACATAGCGGGAGTGTGCTAGATAGAAAGCAACTTTACAAACTCTGTTTTAAACGTTTTCAAAATGGCAAACTTCAGCATTATTAAATGGAGAACTAGGAAGACCAAAGTTTTAATTCCCTTCTACCCCCTACCTCCCCAAACCCTGAAACAGATCTGAAGATGTAGCTACACAAAAGTTCAAGTTCTTAAGTTGTGGAAGACTTGTAATTCAGGTTGATTAGAAAGTTATTGAAAAGCAGCCTTCTCTGAGCAAACTGGAGAGAAGGACAATTGCTCTGATACCAAGTTGGAAAGAATAGGAACCTAAAATCTGGGTTCATGTGTTTGCATAAAACAAATAAAGAAGAATGTCTATTTTTATTTTTCAGGTTACAAAACAATGTATTTAAGTGCTTTAGCTTTCTTGTGCCTCTTAGTTGGTTAATTTTCCCAATATGGGCTGAAATTTAACAGGTGTTTAGTTACGGCAAATATTGTGTGATTTTATTGCGTGATCTTCCCCTTATTTTTATTGTAAGTTTAAAAACCTTTCTTTTTTTAACACTAACTGAAGAGGAATGAAGAAAAATTGCAATCTCAAGCCTTCCCCAATGCTTCAGTAAAGCCATTCTATTCTACTGCAGTTTTGTGTTGCTCTCTTGCTTCTCCCTAAATGAAGGGTTAGGGGTGTAATGTCTCCATTGTGGAATAAAAGCAACACGGTTAGTAGTTGTTAGAAGAATTTAATATGCTGGTAACAGTTGTGTAGCTGTTGTAGATTATCTGATCCAGTGTGATGTCAGGGTCAATATGATGTGGTCCTCTTCATGTTATTTTAGCTTAAATAAAAATAACAGATATTTGGATTGAATATGTACATATGACATTCTCAAACAGAAATCCTTTGTTGATATCATTCCATTTCTTCACTCAAGCTGTAGCTATGTCATTGGAAATACTAAGTGTAATTATCTGCATTTGCAATGCCTGTAATATGCTTTAAAAATTTGTACACATCAAATGTATATTTTTGGTTTGGCAGTGGCTACTCCTGTTTAACTTTTCCTAACTTGTATTCAAATGATAACCTATTGAGAGTAAGGCAACTTTCTCAACATGTAAATAAACACTTTTTTTACTTGCTGAAAGTGTAACTTACTCTACCCTTCCTTAACAGTGAATGTGAAATTAAGTTGTCTTGACCATGGTTGAGGGAAATAGACTGTAGCTGACCATCTTGCTTTTAAAAATGAGCAAGCATTTGGCAAAAATGAAACTTTCTAGTTTGAACTGAAGATTTCTACTATAATGTGTGTGTTCTGTAGCCATGTTTAGTAGAATTCCACTTCTCAGAGTGATCTGAGAAATTATGATCAAACTTCGCTAAAGTTACAGTTTAAGAAATTGAAGGATGAAAAAAATTGCTTATGTGAAGTAGTGCACCAGTACTGTAATACATATATCTGTACAGACTTAGTGCTATAACTAAAGCAATTTTGCAAAGAAAATATTTAAATAAGGATCTGTAATATACTTACCTTCACTTACCCCATTATTATGTTTTTTAATCTGAAGACAATCAATAGAAACAGTTCAGCTGTTTTAGAGTTTCCCTTTCATTTGAGTATGGTTTTAATTTCTTAGCTTTAGTTTACCTTTTGCAAAAGTAAATCCCACTTAGCTACGAAAAATAAAGTTTTTCCACTTCAGCAGTATGGACAGTATTTTGGAGGCCTCTGGTTAGCACGGTATTATAGGTTTCAGTTCCTATTAGGAGGATAATAGTAAATAATAAATGTCAGTAGTGTTCTCGAGTCTGTTGGTGTTCGTTTTATCTGTTGCTGTTTTGGGACTGAAAGTGAAAGCTGCATATGAAGATGAATAATTAAAAGCTAATACAAAATTACCAGTGCATGAGAATTAGTAGGAAAGCTTTTAATAAATAATTAGCTGCATTTTTATTGAGCTCTATAGCATCCCTTTTTGAGAGGTGGTGCTTTGGAAAGGAAGCTCTAATGAGCTGCAGTAACAAAGGCCCTGAGGAACTGGCTGCATCCCTGTCCTCAGGACTGCATTAGCCAGGGTACCATTTTAATTGATGTACCTGATCACATCATGTGTAGGAGAGAGTCTTTTATAGGAAATTATTATTTTTACTTCCATAGAGTTATTACTGAGTTGTTTATGTACTGCTTATACATACAGAAAACTTACATGGCTTTTTTCACGCTAAGAAGCTTTGAGCAGAAGTTCACTATCGTTGAAGTTGTGCCATTGTCAAACAGAAGATCATTTGACACAACTATTGGGGCAGAATGTTCAGAATTATTTGACCTAAGTGTAAAATTGTTGTTTCAGTGTTGTGTTTTAGTATTCTATAATTGTAAATACTGGGATGGCTAAGCCAAGTGAGAAATTAGAGAAAGCATTGCCTGTCCTGTAATCTTTCTTGTATGTAGTTCTTGCATGTAATATTTCTTACAGTTTGCAGTATATGACAGCAGTCTCCAGGAAAAAGATCAAGGAGGCAGAGCAGAGAATTCACAGATGGTTTGGAAGATGCAAAATGAGTATCTTCAGGTTCTAAGTTAAGTTCTGGCAAGCAGAAGGTATCAGTTGTATTGCATTTCTGAGTTGCTTCAACTGGAAAATTTATAAAGCTTCCTAATAACTTTGTTTGCTTTAGCATCCTGTTCCCAGTTGCCTGATTCTCCTACCATGTGTGCCTGAATTTGGAACAATACTAAAAATGATAGTCACCTAAAATATAGTTTAACAGCAGGCTGTCTTCCTTGGATTAAAATCTTCATAAGCTCGATTTCCCCCTGCTTCCCTATTTGTGGAAATAAGACCTGTTTTTATGAACAGATGAGTAAATTTCAAGACTTACACTTCATATTATGGCAGTTGAGTTTCCTCTTTGGAATCACCTACAGCTAAACTGTAGGTAAATTTTATTTGTAATCCAGACTTTTAAGCACAAGTGCTTGTACATCTTGTGCAGTTATGTAAGCATCAGACTTAAGGCTATTTTCAATGATGATACAAACTTAGAATTAACTGTGGTGAAGGCACTATAAGGCATATGCAAGAGGCCCTTCAAGCCACCTGTTTAAATTTTCATGATTTCCATTAAAGGTCTACTTTTTTTTTCCAAAAGCCTTTGAACCTGTGGGAATTTTTCTGGTGAGCTTTTAGCCGGGCTGAGGGTTTTCAGCAGTGGCAAAACAAGGAAGGCAGTCTAGCTTTTCATGAGACAAACAAGCTATAGGAAGGTTAAGTGATACAAAGCTGGTATGAGTAGTGCATCTGATGTCCTGAGTTCCTGAACAGAGCAAGTACTTGCGGTTTTAAAAGCTGCAAACAGACATTGGAACCTGTTAGAGCTCTTTTGCTTTGTCCCATGTGTCGAAAAGACTCATGGACAAAATGCCTCAAAATTTGAGGACCACCAGTGCCAGCTTCTCATTTATCTAGAACTTGATGCAGTGCAACTTTCTGTGTGTCTGTTACTTGATACTGTGATACTGTTTTCCTATTAGAGTTTAGAATTAATGTAGTGATAGGATTCTCTTAGAAGAGGAATAATGTTTGTGCCTATTTTATAATAAGGTTCTTAGCCAGCTAAGCATAGTTTAGGAAATGCTGAGGGTTTAGAAAGCATTTTGTGTGTGTGTGTTTGTTTTCTGTACTTCCGAGAGGAATATTTTCTCCCAGTTCCTGGAGCTCTGTTTATACAGTGTTTGACCTCAGCTCTGTGGATGCCCAGACTGCCTCTAGACTACATGAATCCAGAAAGTGCAGCAAGATGCAACATGGTGAACTCTGTGCAAGAGACAGACTAAGTACTATTTGTAGATGCTTCTGCTTATTGAAAACTTGAGATTGATGAAAACAGCACAGGATAAAGAAGCGATTAATCTGACTAGTGGCATAGGCTAATGTCACGTACAGTGGGGCCAGTGAACAGAAATTGCAAAATATTACTAGCTAGTGGTAGTTTTACCAATCTGTTTTTGAAATCCAGAGCAGTGTAAACCAAGAACTTGCATGTCCTTGCTAATAACTTAAATGGCGTTGTTTTTCTTAGTGCTCTTATTGGGAATGCAAAACAAGCACTCCCTCCTTTCTAACACCATGCATCTTATGAGAGACTGATTGCAGACAAAAGCTCACATATGTATAAGCTTGTGTGAGGCTGTGCTTTCATCTTGCTTGCTTTTTTCGGGGCAGCTTGTCTTTGCAGTTATTTCTGTCAGTGTAGTTAAAACAGCAGGAAGATTTGGAGTGTTTTACAACACACTTGAAAGACAAGCAGCCCTCAACTACTGAAAACCTGCAATTCGAAGAAGACACTGGTGTTCTGGTAATTGCTACTCAGGTTTGTTAGGTTAAGCTGAGGGGCTTGGTGTGTGATATGTGAATTGCACATGTAAGATGAAGGCATTGGTAACATCAGTACCAGAGACTGTCTCAAGCAGTAGAAAACATGGGAAACAAGGCTTTTTTTTTTTTTTTGGCAAGGGTGAGACAAATGGACTAATGAAATCCTACATGGGCCTCCCTGGGTCTCATTGACTCTGCAGTGACTTGCTCTCTCTTGAAGTTGTTTAGCGTAACTTCGGGTTATGCTGTGTAATTCCCCCTTCAGTTACACTGCTGGCTTTCTTGTCCTTGTAATTATTGTTGTTGAAGTGGATTCCTACTGTTTAGGAGGATAAAAGGAGTAGTCCAGCACACATACAGTGTAAACACTGCACCAGTATTTCCCTGGCAGGCAGGTTTTGACTGATTAGAGATATGTGGTTGAGGTAAATTTCTGTCACTCACATGCTGTATAATTGTGTTGATGGAAGTAGTTAGCAAACTGATGGAAGTAGTTAGCGAACTGAGCAGGAGTGATCTCTGCACATTTAGGATGATTAAGTTATTGAGCAGATACAATGGTGGATGGTAACATGGGTAACTCTTATGTATGTTCTTATGCTTTCCTGTGTGTCTTTGAAATAACCTAAAAAAACAAAACAGAGGGAAGCTCCGTTAAATGTTAACAAAGCCCTACTTAGCTGGAACACTTTTTGAGTAGTGCTGGGTATTTGACCAAAAATTTTAACTGAAAACAAAATTTTAAGTGAGGTGAGGAAGACGACTTGCTGAAAATGTTTCATTCAACTCTTATCTTGGAGCAGTGCCATTTCTAGAAAGCCCAGAATACTGCCAGTGATTTCTTACCTGAATTGTCCCAGGAGTTATTATACTCACGTAAGTGCTTCCAGATTATTATTTGGCTAATGTAGATTAAGACAAATCCTTATCAAGTAACAAAATGCTTTTACTGCAAAGTTCAGCTGCATATTGACATAACAAGATCACTGACATTGTATTGTTATTTTCATTAACAAGAAAAGCAGTTAAATTGCATTTTTTAAAAATCTATTATAAAAATGGAAGAAATTTTTCTGCAAAATTGATTTAAAAAAATTTAAAAAGGTAAAAAGGCTGATGCTGACAAAGTGTTTTTACACTGTAAAACCTAAGAAGTTACAATCTGGACTTGAAAATACTGAGCAGAACTTAATGTCAAAAATATAGCACAAAATATAATAAATGCAACAAGAGATTACATCTCAGCTACCTCATGTTAGAGCTAAAATATGCGTGCTCTGTATGAGCAGTGTTGAACACACTTCCTGGAGCATGTGGCCATGGTTTTTGAACTGAATCCCCTTCTGTGGACTGAAGGGGCAGTATAAACTGGGGTCTCCCCTTTGCTGATGTGATGGACAGTGGTGATCAGACCGTGCACATGCCTGAGACAGGACAGGGGCAGGAGCCTGCTTCTGTGCAAGCAACTATGTTTTGGTGCACCCAAAATTGACATAACAGTAGTAAAGACTATGTGATACCAGATCTTGAAATCATGCAGGTTTCAGATGTACACAATCTGATCCTTTTCCCACCTAGTATGACTCATTTTCATCAATCTCTTTTGGACTTTTGTCTTGGGAAAGAGACAAAGAAGTGAATATGCCACATTCAGGTACAGGTTGCAGTGATGGCAGGCATCTTTCCTGTAAGAGTGGCATTTGAGCCAAGTGGAAGCAAGTCTCATAATAATCCATAGACTGCCCTTCTTGTGTCTCTGTTAAGATCTGGTATTCCCCAAAACAAATGATGCATTTCCATGGCAGGTCCATTTTGTTTAAATAACCCAGTTCTGTGTGGTCCACTCTCAGCTTGGTTTTTTTGCTCATGTTCTTTATCTCAAAACCAAATTCTGAAGTGTCCAGTTTTCTGTAAAACTGCAAAGAAAACTGAATCCGAGAAACACGAGAATCCATAAAGTTGTAACGGCAGATGTTAGAATCACGGCCGAATGTAGCAATTTCATTGGCCCTGACCTGCTCTCGCTCACAGAAATTCAGGCAACGAAACATCATCTTGTCATCTTGGCAAGGGTGGTAAAAAGTCATGTGGAGACATGTTACTGTTTCTTCAGTATCGGCATCTTCACAGAAGATCATGATGAAATAAGCCCTCAGAACTATGAGAAAGAAGCAAAATCTGAGCATGTAATCAATGGAATAAAAAAAATACTACAGACAGGCATCGAAGTACTCACACAGGCACTAAAAAACAGTGTGTAATTTATGAAGAAATGACAGCAAGCAATGAAACTACTGGAACAAAGACATGGAAGTAGAACATACCCAGTCCATCATCATTTCCCATTACTTTGTCAAGGACTCCCCAGTGGTGACCACCGATCGCTTTGTGCTGAACTCTTGCCAACTATATCAAGTGAGGGGGACAGCTCTTTCTCACTTACTGCTGTGGTTACTTAGCGCTTGAGAATGCAGAAAAAATACACTATTGTAAATTACTACCCACTCATTATTCAAGTGGATTTAGCTCTGGAAGAAATCCGTCACTTAACAGGAATGAAATACAGCAAGACTTGTCCTCTGGACCTATAATAGAACAGTATTTGTGACAGTGTGTGCACTGTTTTACAGTGCATTGCTTTGACAGGAAGATATCAGGCAAGGAACATTTATAAATGCATTCTGACTCTAGGCAGTAATATTTCAAAATTGTAAAAAGTGACATGATGGATCTTTAGTCACATTTTACCTCTTTTATTATACAAAATAAAAATGTTTAGAAATGAGTGATGTGACTATATGTAAAATAAACCCAAAATCTGGAATTTCAGAGGGACCAAAAGCAGGAATTGTCACCAATTCTATTTATTCCACTTTTGGCTCACTGCCTATCTAAAAATCCCAGTCCCAGCAATGCAGTACAGAAATACCATAAAACTAACAAGATTTGTTTTTGTTTTCTTTTGAAAAGCTAATCAAATGTAACATGAAGGCAGTTGATTATGAATTAAATCCTGTTCCAAAGTCTGAGTTGGCTGCAGTGCATCCCAATAAAATGAGACACATTAGAAAACATTGCAATGTGGTGCTCTATGCATGAATACCCAACATTCAGAAGTGATAGTTCCTGGACTGAAAGAAAGAAAAGAGAGGGTAACTATAGTAGGAATGAGGGAATGAGTAGGCAGTTACTCACCAGAGAAGCATCTTATTAAACTGCATTATTAAAAAGTTATTAGCCATTTAAATATAGTCATATGTTGCAGATGTTAGCAATGTTTTTCCTATTAGATCTCGGGTTGCTCCCAGCACGTCCCACTGTTTGATTCTGAACTTTCTCACCAACTCCGTTCAGTGAATCGCTATTGGAAGCAGTTCACAATTCATTCTGATGGGTTTTAGGGCTAGGTGAATTAGCACTGCATTAAGTAACTAGTAACTTCTTGCTTTTAAAGGTTAAATTATGATAGTTTTGGAAAATGTAGGCACAGTGAATGGTGTTCAGCGCACATCTTTCTAGGTGAAACCTAGAATTCTCTTCCTTACGGAGCTGTAACAGAACAGCAACATTTCTGACAAGCAAACTCGGCTGAGGCTTAGTTTACCTTCCAAAGGGCCTACAACAGGGCTTCTGCCAAGCTTAGATGTTTAGGGAAACATGAAATTTCAGGTAGATCTTGCTTTAAACCTAACCAGAAAACAACATCTATGCCTGTGGCAGAAGGATGGACAGGCACCCTGCTGGCAGGTTATGAACGAAGACAAGCTGCAGTGGCACAAGTCCTCCCTACTCATCATGCTGGTATTCCGCAATCCGGATAGTTGGAAGCACCTTGATGAGCTCGAGACTGACCCTTGGCCTGACTCCTCCTGCCCTTCCCTGCTCTGCTGCAATGATAGGACGTGAGATGCATTACATGAGGTCAGCCCTGGTCAAAGGGGAAAAACAGCTTGTTTCCCTTCACAAAACTTGTGCAACAGAGAAGAGCTTCTGCAAGTTGACTTTATCAGCTGAGTTTCTGGTGTATCTCCTGTAGGCTTTGCTAATTGGCTGCTCTTAGAAAACTCTCTAGAGATGGAGTTATACACTCACACTCATTAAGGTGATTTTCACTATAAGGACCCAACTTCTTCAAAGCATTAACACTCAGAATGGGATTGTCACCGAGTAATCGGGTCCCTGTTTTTTATAGATGAAAAATGACACAGAGAAAAATGACAACACAGTGAGGATACCAAATTTGAAACCCTCTAGGGCTCCAACTTGAGTGTTTAAAATTTTATTTGGGAATTTTAAACCTCCTACATGTGAGCTACAGCTCAAACTGCTCTGCCATTTGTTTCCACATATGAGCACACAGGATTTCAACCTTAACACCAAGAACGTGAGTAAGGTCTGTTCCGTGGCCACTTCTCACTGTAAACGACCACGAGAGCTGATGGAGGGGAGATGGGGAGCACAACTTTCAAGGACGTTACCCCAGTGCCGCAGCGCATGCGGCTCTGCGTTCTGCCCTCCAGAAACCCCACGCTGCCGGCACCAGGGTTATCTCTGCTGCCCGCAGGGGCTGTGCTGGAGGCCAGCAGAGCTGCCTCTTTTACCGCCCACCGTGGGGCCGGTTTGTCCCGCACGCCGCGTGACACAGGTGTGACAGTGCGGCGTGCACAGCGGTACCTACACAGACACACCTGTACCTGGAACACGAGCATCTCCCGGGCAAGCTGCTCCCCACGCCCCGTGCTGGGCAGCGCTCGCTCCCGCGAGCTGACG